TACCTTAAAAATTAGTCCTTATAGTAGCTGTGCAATAGTATATGAGACTCACTAATAATTTTTAAATTCTTTAATATGGTAAAAATGATAGGTATGTTTAAAAATTATGAGTATTATTCACATTATTGTTATTGATATGCAACCTAACTTTAATTCATAAATTAAAATTTTTCATGATTTGCAAAGTAACATGTACTTATTATCTATTACAGAAGAGAAACCAAAGATGGCGATCACTGGAAAAAAGATCAGATGAAGTTGTAAAACATGTAACTATTAAAAATGAGATAGAAGAAAAGATGCCACATTTTCAAGAAAAGCAAGGGTGAGGTTCTCAGTAAAATGTACATTTCTTTATGACTTGGGATTTTTTAATAGTTTTTAAGTTAAAATAAGTTTTATTCATTCTTTTATTTAATAAATATTTATTAAACACTTACTATATACTAGGTAACATATTAGCATGCAAGTGAAGAGCAAGGCTCTGCAGTCAGACTGCCTGAATCCACTCCTAGCTCAACTAAATGTAGGCTCTGTGACCTCTGGACTAGTTGCCTCACTTCTCTCTGCTACATCTTCCTCATCTTTAAAATGGGGATGATGATACAACCAACCGCATAGGAATTTTGTGAGTACAAGATAATACACACAGTAAATATTCAAATAATGTTGTCTATTATTATTATTATTAATTCTACCAGAGATTGTAGTATGTAGGGGGGATACGATAGTTTCCTCAGTAATCAGAAAATTTTAAAAATAAATGTAAAATTAAAACTGACATAAGTTATATGACATAAGAAAAGACACAGGGGAATTTGAGAATGCCTTTGAAATGATTGGCCTCTAAGAGAAGGAGATTTTTGTCTACTTCATTCTTTCTCTCCCTCTGGCCCTCTACTCCACCCCCATGGAGGAAGAGTGCTGCGGAGACTGGTCATATTTCAGACCATTGGTCAGGCTGTTTACTAGTGGACAAGCCTCCAGACCTTTTATCATATTCCTTATCGATTAAAAAAAAACATGCTGTATATTGTTAATAGATTATGTACATTATAAAACACACGAAAAAGAGACCATTGTGAAAGGATGGGATAAAATTGAAATATTTTAAAAATAATTTTAATGAATTAACGAAACAAAAATTGTGCTTGTTCTCATACACCCCTCACACATACACATGCACACCCCTACACACATATACATATACACATATATGTAAGTTTCTATCCAAACCCCTATGGATATTTAGCCCATGCCAGGTGGGTACTCCACACACGTTGGAGACCAGAGAGCTCTTATGAGGCATAGAATGAACCTGTACAAAGGCTCTCTGTCTCCATTTCCCCTGAACAAGTATCACACTTTATCCTATTTGAATGATAGGTTGCATAACTAGTGGTTGGACTTAGGAGATATTGGGGAGTAGGGAGTTGGGAGGGAGAACATTAGGGGAAGAAGGACATTTTAGGCAGAAAAAACAGAATAAGAGAGTTTTAAAATAAAAAGAATGAATAAGAATCTTAAAAGGGTATTGAAAATGCACATTTTTAATTGAAATTAAATGATCTTGGTAAAAGCAATTTCTGTGGCATAATGGGAATATATCTGTAGAGTAATGAAAAGCATGAATTTTCTGCAGAATAGAACTTTGTTCTGAATGACTTTTGAACAATAGGGATGCACCTGACCTTTTCTCCAAGCATTAGTTTTTAAATATTTATCTGTTTCACTAGTTGCTGATGGTATCAAATAGCAGTCAATTAACATTATATTGTCTTAGTTATGTTGGTCAGTACTTTATGGATAAAACAGGGTTGGTATGTTTAGAGTTACATTAACATAATCTAACAATATTGAAGTAGTAAGCATATACACCAAAGGAAAATGAATTTTCTCATAGATTATGATCTACTCATTTACAGTAGTAGCCCGGAATATTTAGTGTGGCTTACTGCGCACCTCACTTCCTACCAGATGACAGAGTGAATTGGGTTGTATTTTTCTAAACAAACACATGCCTAAGTGTTGGCTCAGACTGAAATAATCTGAGTATATGATTCCCATCAAAATTTTGTTCTGGTTTTATTGACATTAAAGTACTAAGCTTAAAATTTCAGGTTAGTATTTTATTTGATATGAATAACCAAATCAAACTTTGTTCTTTATGAAGTTGGATCCATCTTGTTCAGGATCAATACAATAGATGTTTTAAAAACTTCATAATGTATGAGATTTATTATCTTTAGTTCAAAAACACCTTGAGTTCAGTTGCATTATTTATAGAGGTTATTTACCTGTGCTGTTGATTACTTCCAGATCTGTAATCACACATAAACATTCATGTCTCTCTGCTTATTCTCATTCAGCCAGATGTACACACCAAAACATGTTGTAAAGTCACTGCCTCTCCTACTCATAACAAAGAATAGTAAGCTGCTTGCTCCAGGATTCCAGTGTCGACTTTGTTTGAAAGCATTTCATATTGGCCAACACACAAGATTGCTACCATGTACTCACAAGGTAAAAGTCACATCATTTTAGTTTGACTTTCTCTATAGGACCAGTTTCCACAAATGAAGTGACAATTTAAGTCTCTCACTTTTTAGTTACTATGCTTCAAGCATGTTCAAATTGCATAATATATTTAGAAGAACTGCTTCAGAGACTACTGAGAAGGCAGCTCTGCCTCCTGAGAATGTATTACTATTGATTAGGACTCATGTCTGTATATACTATCTGGGAAGGATAAAATGACACTTTAAGTTAGATTCTTTTATCTACTTTAGTTGTCTCTCAAAAGAAAATGCTTATAGAATACTATAAGAGGGTACTTCAAAAAGTTCATGAAAAGATTCATATTATCTTTTAATTATATTTTTCTACAAACATCTTGAAGTACTCTCATAACATTTTGCTATGTGCTCTTATAATTCTTTAGATAAACAAATGCCTTAATTGACATAATTATTTCATATGAACTCACTAAAATCAAACCATTTTGCTATGTGCTCTTATAATTCTTTAGATAAACAAATGCCTTAATTGACATAATTATTATTTCATATGAACTCACTAAAATCAAAGTCTAATCTTGCTCGATCACTATATATTTGATAACCAACTTTTCCTGAAATAAATTGTTTCATTAAATAAGCATGTGTAACTTTAAAGTCACACTTACTTAAAATGGTGGATGGTTTGTTTTACTCCCCAAAATGTGATTTGTTATTTTATATCTTACTTTCATCAGATCCATTTTCAACTCTAGGTGATTATGATTTTTATTTTTTAATTATTTTTATTCAGTAGGAATAATTAGACAGCAGTGAAATTAATAGCTTGAATAAGTAGTGAGTTCTTAACAAAAATTACATAATTATTAAACTGGGTAGAATTTATGTAAATAATATATATTATAAATAAGATAATTATAGTTGATTAACTTATAATCTTTTTTTAAGTTTCATAGGAAATGTATTGATAGTTGGTTATTCTACAAGTGCAATTCATGCCCTATTGATGGACAAGTTGTATATAACCCTTTAATCTGGAAAGATGCAGCAGTGAATGGACAAGCACGTCAGTCTGTTTCAAACACAGGCATTGCTCATGCATCAAAGCAGGAAGAACCGAAACTTTTTATTCCTGGTACTGGATTAGTCTTAAAACAAAATAGATTTGGAATTTTACCTAGCATATCTCAACATCATTCTGAAAAACTGAATACACCTCAAAGTTCAACAGATAC